GGGGGAGTTACTTGTGGTCAAACTTTGACCTTGCAGCGCGTGAAACAATCGATGCCGGTCGTCGATATCGACGCCCAACACTACAGGGGGAAAAGCCCACAAGAATTAAATGGAAGTCTTAGACCGTTGATTAAATTTTCACTATCGAACATAACATATTCTATCTTATCACTGATTTTCCCTAGTTCGTTCTCTCTCTCTCTCTCTTTCTCTCCGTCTCGCGTGCAATTATGCCAATTATCCCGGCCCAATATGGCCACCAGTCTCGCGACTTAATCAGAAACCACGACTCCGAAGATCGTTGACGTGTGAGAGTGCGGAGGGGGTCGTCTTGTTAGAGAGCATTACGTAGGCCCCTTAGCTGGCGCGCAGATCTGATAAGTTTAGTGGCGTTGGCGATATTACCCCCCCCCCCCCCCCCCCCCCCCCCCCCCCCCCCCCCCCCCCCCCCCCCCCCCCCCCCCCCACACACACACACACGCGCGCGCGCGCGCGCCGCGAACCCACCTCGACCTTCCGCGCTTCACCGTGGCAAAGTTTGATAGCACTCGTTGGGGGAAGGGGAGTCCCCGTGATCTACGGCCGCCGTGTCTGGCGTCTGGATCGCCGCGCGCACCGGCGCCTGTGGGTGAGGGGGGGGGGGGCAACCAGCACTCTGAGGTCTTTGGGTTTCTTCCAAACCCACCTAACTTCCTATTTTCTACGAAAGGCAGATCTGTGAAAATTGGAAGAAAAAAAAGATAATTTAAGTCAGGTCACACTGGTAAAACAAAAGTGCTAAGTCGTGCCTTTCAAAGGCACTAAATAGGGCACTAAACAGCCCAAAAGGTGCTAAAAATTAGTGCCTTTTCCTTTGGCAGTTTTAGTGCCTTTGTAAAGGCACTAAACCCTTAGTGCCTTTTAAAGGTAGGAGTTAGCACAGTTAGCACCTTTGTTTTACCAGTGCAACGGCAAAATTCTGTCATCCAACGTTATATCATTTTGGATTTAGGTCATTTGGGTCTTCGTTCTTTAGAATGCTTTTCTTTCTCTCTTGCTTTCACGGTGAATTATTTTTGTGAAGAGGGACAACTTTGAAAAACTCCTTTAATACAAGAAAAACCTTATCCTCAAAAAAATATGAGGAAAATTCCCACAAAATATGTGTTCCCTCAGAAAATCAGACTTTGTTTATGACAATTATCAAAGTGTGGAGTATACCTAACGCAATGTTTGTCCTTTCTGTCCGCAGGCGGCCCCTGGTGGTCCCCGTCCGGGCCCGGGCTGAGCGCGCAGCTCTGCGCCACGGTGTGACCGCGTGACGGTGTGACGGCGTGACGGCGTGACGCCACGTGACGTGACATCTCCGTCACATCCTGGTGACCTAGTCAGTCTGCGGCGAGCCCCTCCCCGCGGCCCGCGCGACACGTGCGTCAAGATTTAGAAAATTATTCGTGGAGTCTGGACACTCAGTGCACTTTGTAGACGCAATCGCGACGGTGCGAGACCTAGCTCGGTGCTCCAGTCCTGCAGCTCAAATACTTGCAGTGTGAATTAGTGATTATTATTATTACAATGTGTCTACTATTTACATATACCGTTGCTTATTTCTAAAAAAAAGTTAAATTGTCTTGTAATGTGTTGTTTGGAAGAAGGCAGCTACTCCTGACTGGATTCTGAATCAAATCCACAAACCTCTTTAAACTGTATTTCATATTACAAGTCCCTTTTTTTACTGTTGTTTATTGTTGCTGCCTTTGATTTAAGTTCCCCCTCCCTTCCTATGTGTTGCCAATTTAGATTAAAATTACAAGCTAATATTATAAATAGCTACATGTTTTTATCATATGATGAATTTAAGATGTTTTTGTTGTTGTTGTTCTTTTTTTTTAAATTATAAAGCTAAATTTGTTTTCTAAAAACTTCTTGGCAACTTGTCTGTAGGTGTGGAAATGTGGTAAAATCATTTTGCATGTGACATGAAGGCAGTACGTATGTGCGTATGTAGTTGTGGGAAATATTTGTAAATGGGTTGGGGTGCCTGTGGTGAAGAGGATTATCAACTCTCTGAGTAGGCAGTGTATGTGGGTGTGAATGTATATCAGTGTGTGAATGTATAAGCATCACCCCAAATTAAAGTCATCAATGTTGACCATTCCGCAAATTTTAGACCACGTACGAAAAAGTGCCAAGAAACTTGACAGAAACGTATGTAACTATAGGGGAATAAAGGTCCTCTCACTGGCTCATCACTAATTATACAGGCATCTAATGCCTATTATCGACAATTTTGTTTTCTATTTACTTATGTATTTTATTACTTGTTTGCCAAATGAGAATGGCTTTTATTTCATACCTTTCATGGTTTGGAATACTTTTCATTTTTAAGTACAAATCATTCATAGATTAATGCTTATTATTTTTGTATGATCAGTTAAACTGATCTCACCACATCTTTCTGATACCCATACTTGAGTGTGTCTACCTTGATGCTGTTATAGTTTAGTTTAAACACAAGCTTGGTGTGATATCTGTACATGATAATTAAAGTCAATTGTAAACATTTTGCATTCATTTCCTGTTTTACATAGGATAGAATATGTTTTCCTCTGCCAATACTTATATGCACTAGTGTACCACAACAGGAAGGTAGTAGGCGTAGAGCAGTATTGAAATTTTGCAACAAGTTTATCTTTTACTGACCAAAATTTGAACAAATTTGGGTTTTTACCCCCTTCTGTTTCTATGTGTATTCAAAATTAGTTATCACACATGTTGGACTTAATGTGTTCTAAACCTGTTTGAACCAATCAGGATTTGAAAATCTGTTGTGTACCTCAGCATCCTTCTCTTTTAGAATTGATCATTATTAAAAGCATGGTCATTTACTGACAGATATATCTGTATATGTGTCCAAAACATGGAGATGAATTATTTCTTATTTATACATATTCACTACAATAGAGGGGTGCTGTAATAGTTTGTTTGATTGTAATTCCAGTGACACCCAAGTTTATTGAATGTTTGAGTTAATGATTTCTAAGCTGTCATATGTACGTATATTTGCAATGGTTGATAAAATTTATATATGATGGAGAGTTTTTTTGCCATGTTAATGGTTAGTGAATTCTTTCTCATTTTGTGTTAGGCCTATTAATTTCACATTAATTCAGATCGTTATTGTTTTTTTGTTTGTTTTGTTCTTGTTTTTTCCCCCTTATTTTCTCTGCTGACCTTTCACATTTAATCACACAATATTGAGATTGTGATCACATGTGAAAGGTCAGTGTAAAATTCTATTGTTTCCGTTTTGATTTCTATTTTTATTTGCTCAAAATTACTACATTGTTTATATTATATTGATGCTTTTTTACTGCCCTTATTTCTGTTACAATCCTGGATCAAAACTGTCTGCATCAGGAAGTGTCTTACAATTACTCAATCGCTGACAGTTTTATTTTCTTGTTTCAGTAATTCTTCCTTTTGGTACAGTACTTACTTGCATATCAGCCTGGAGGTCTAAGGAGACTTCTTAAACTCTTGATCAAAGTTATCTTACACCCAAAGTTGTGTCAGTGAATGTGTCCGTTTTTCAAATCAGTAATTTAATAGTTGACCACTGCTCTTTCCACAAGCAAAATGGAAAAAAATGTTAAAAATTTGATTTTATGTTTTATTTGTGTATTTTTTGTTATATCTAGTTCATAGATTTGTATTGTTGTGTTCTACTGTCATTCTCTTAGTATTGCAATTGTGTAAAGCCAGTGGATGAGCAGGTGAAGTGCTCAATAGTGCGTCACAATCAGTTTCCCAAACATTCCTGGGGACTCGACTGTGATCGGCTCTCTGTTCTGGAGGTGTATGCTCAGTGCTGAATGTTTATTTGTTGTAGTCAACAGTCAAGGAAGACGTGTTGCTTTGTCAGTCAAAACCAAGAGGTGCTTCGTAAAGTGTTTGCCAGCATGCCTGAATTGGAAGTGGATGCGGGTTATCTAGTCAGCCCTCGTCAGGCCCCGACCCAGACCCAACAGTGTAGCGCTGAGAGTGCAATCAAGTGGTGATATCCACAACTATGCTAGGATAGAAGAAACGAATTGTGATTTGATTGTTGGAAAGCAGGTTACTTAAAGTAATATGTGGTAGGAAAGCTATGTACATAATGTTTGTGCCATGTTATTGACAAAAAATTCTCTTTATGATACAGGACATCCTATCTTTGTTGTTAATTATAGAAAAACAAACTATTGATTTGTTGTTTGTTACATCCCCAGCACACCTAAACACAAAATCGAAAATTAAAAATGTTTGTAGATTTATTTTAATTGAAACATAAATGATACATCTAGTATGATGCCACAATGTTGGGCGGCGTCTCCTGTCAAGTAAATCTCAAGGCGCACGAGTCAGCGCAGTCGCTTGTGCAACACGGGGATCATCCAGAGAGTAGGCCTACGTCCGTCATTCCCAATAACCTGCAGAGTTCAGCTTTGCCTCTGCGACCTCTCACAGCGCCTGATGGGTAGGCAACATCATGCCTACAGTGCATGCGTGTGCTGCCGGGTGGCCTACCCTGAGTCTCGCAGGCGCTGAACAAACACCCCCCCCCCCTCAGCGGAAGCTGCCGAGTGAATCTGAAAAGAAAACGTATACTACTTTCTGGACGTAGTCACAAGCTGATCACTCCCACTCCCAAAGCGACAGGCCGAGTGGCGCAGTGGCCTGTGATCACAGTTCGAAGGGTTCCACGTCACCACAGTTCCACCTTATCACAGTCACAGTTGCAGCTCAGCTACGTCAGTCTGGTCACGTGGCTCCCCTCCACGTCTTCTTGATCATGTCGGCCGCCTTCTCGCCGATCATGTAGACGATGGCGTTGGGGTGCGCGGCGGGCGCGTCCGGGATGACCGAGGCGTCGACCACCCGGAGCCCGCGCACCCCGTGGACGCGCAGCTCGGGGTCCACGACGGCCGTGGGGTCGCCCGCCGGCCCCATCTTGCACGTGCCGACCTGGAGGGTGAAGCCGGAAACTCGTGAGCGCTTCCTTTACTGTAAAAGGCTTTTCTTGGATTTCAAGGTTATTTCACGAACCTCAGGGGCGGGTGGATAACTTCAATATCGACCCTTGAGGTCCCAAACTGCCTTGAAACCCTCAGCTTCCGAGGGGCAGCTTTGGAATTTTCGTCCACAAAATTCATGAAATAGCCTTGAAATCCAAGGAAATCTTTTTACCGTTGTTGGCGAGCTGGTTGAGGGTCGCGGCCGGGTGGGAGCGGGTTCGCCGCCCTGACCGCCAGTTTGCACTTGGTCTGCTCCTGACATACTTCCGCCACGCCACGCCTGGTCATGCACTCGCATTACGCACATTACGTCTCGCATTCGCACGCGAAAAGTGGGGCGAGACGAGGCCTCCTCGCGTGGCAGCCCGTTTCCGTCACAGGACCGAGTCCCGCACGCATTTCTGCCGGTATAGATTAGTTATCAATTTTGCGACTTTTCAAAGGAAGGTCGTGTCGCGTTTCCTCACTGTCGCGGTTACAGTGTTGGACTAAAAGTTGAGCACTTAAAAGCGTTCAACTCACGTGCTGAATTGGCGAATTTGAACTAAGGAATGAATATTCCATAACTGAAGAGCTAAATTGGTAGTAAGTTTGAACATTTTTGAGCGTTCAACGTTCAGTCGAACACTTGCAAGCACTCAAATTTCTAGATGACGCAAGTATTCGACATGGTGTTAAGCTCTCGCAATCAACAAAGTTCGCGTAGTTGTCTGTCACGACAGTTCGAAATATTGGCGAGAATCAGTGCACTCTATTGAAGGGCCGACCTGGTGGTGCAGCGAGGTGGTGAAGTGGCGCGCCGCGCAGCCCCAGTAGTCGTCCGAGCCGAAGGTGTGGTTGGTGCAGCCGGGGAAGGGCGTCCGCAGCAGCGCGCTGCCGTAGCGCTGGAACGGGCGCGTCTCGCTCAGCCGCACGGCCTGCAACACCAGGGGCGCCTTGAAGCAGGCTGCAATCTAAATGCACTCAATATGTCTAGGGACAATTACTAGCACCGGATTTCTGTGTGTATAACTGAGTTCAGATCGAGGGGTGGATATGGATAACTTCTGAATTGGGTGTACAAATTTCAAGAATTGAATTTGAATCAGCTTGAATTGAATTTGAATTTGACTGAATTTGTTGAATTGTTTTTGAATTGGTTTGAATTATTGCGATTTTCATTTTACTGCAAGCGTGAATTGGCTTGAATTGACTTGAACTGAATGTAAATTGTCTTGAATTGGGCTGAATCAGTCGAATCATTTTTGAATTCGTTTGAATTAAATTGAATTGGTCTGAATTAGTTTGAATTGGGCAGAATTAGGGGTGTACACTTGGCAGGGGAGTTATCCACCCCTCGGTTCAGAAACAATATTGTAACTAACAATACACATTTACTATACAAAGCTTGTTACAATCGTGTAACTATCCACTAACAGTACACATTTAGTAAATAGTAGTTACAATATTGCACCTCATCTCAGTTACTAGGGAAGTCCGGTGCTAGTATTACAAACATTGTCCTGAGACATTTCGAGTGTGTGACATGGTTTTGTTACCGGTTCTTACACTGCCTCTGGGTCTCCGCGCCGCGGGAGGCGCGGCTCAACGCGCATTGCGCACGACATGCATGTGCTGCGCTGCGCTTCTGCGCTCGCTCCAGACGCGCTCCCGGGCGGGGCGGGG